GGATAACAATCAGAGGAAAAGAGACATAGATGAGAAGAGGGATGGAGGAGAAACGAATAAATTCTCTACTAAGTGGCTCTAAATAGTAATGAAAGGAGGAACAGTCTTTGAAAGCTGATGGAGCAGCTCACACCACTGTCGATCCTAGTATGAAACGACGACGAAGATGGGGCAATCACAGTGATTGCGTGACGAATTTCAAGGGCCAGGGGGAGGGACGGCGAGGGAATCGTTGGGGACAGAGCATTTCACCACGTAAAATATTATAACGATGCGAGAATATAGACGAGACTCCACAATCAAAGAGTTGCGATAAATTAAACGAGGATAGTGTGTGGGTGAAGGTGACGATTTGGTGCATGGGTGTGTATGTGTAGATGTACGATATCTCATCCAAAACCATCAGTACTTATATACACTAACGCGATCTCTCAAGGGTGGGCCACATTATTCGAAAAGAAAACGTGCGTTCCAGTGACTGCGGCTGCTGCTGTTTGCTCTGTGTAGGACAAATCCAACAGTTAGACTGCGTAATTCACGACTAATGAAGAATCGCGAACGAGTTGATGATAGACGTGTGTGTGTGTGATTGAAAGGGGATGGGAACGAGGCTAAAAACAAAAAAGAATAAAAGAAATAAGAATGAAAACGTAAATGTACAAGAGGATGCACAGATCGCTGAACACATCACCAACAATGACATGGGGGACTGCGATCGAGTCACACACTAACGAATTTCATCGGGAATTGAAAAAACGATGATGAGGGGACACAAAAATGAAGCGACACGAGGCGACGACAGGCTACATGAACTCGTGTCACTTACTCTCTGTTAAAAAAAGAGCAAAAAGAAACACAAATCAATCATCAATGAAAAATATTCAATACGCCGACGAAAAAAAAAGAACTGTGCGTTTAGCTAGCGCTAGACCAGAGCGCGGCGCATCACAGGGCACGTGTGGCGCTACTTGAGGAGACGGACATATGGAGAGATTATAACGCGAATCTAAAAGCGTTTCAGCTTTCCCCTGACGCGTCATGTCCACCATGTCCTGCACGATCATCGCCGCCATCCATTTCTAAGGGAGGTAGAGGCCGTCCAGACGGAAGCTTCGTTTCCGGCATCCGCAGCTCATCGAAGAATGCATGTAAACATGCCTGAAAAAATAAAATGAGGAAACATTTCAGGATACCTGTTTATGAACTTGCACCATTACCACAATGAGAACCTTCAAGTTCTTGGATGGTGGAATCTATATTCCTTTTCTGGCAAGCTTCAAAACTTCTAAGGCTTTAAATTTCTTTCCAAAACTTCAAAGGCTAATTCAAATACGCGCGGATTGGTGAAGCCATAGAGTAACAAGTTTAGCCAACTCGTCCGGACACGCCCCTCCCCAATTTGAAAGGTGAGGTAAGGGAGCCCTTGTTAAAGGAATCTTGCGCGGAAAAATCATGATTCTATTTCAGCCATAAATCACTGGCTTGAGACTCATTATCCACGATAATAGTGAAAAGAACTGAAGTATTGCTTTCGTTTTGATTAGAAATTCGAAAACTCGAAAAGGCTGCTACGCGTTCGAATTGCCCACGGACGTCTTTCACGAATGCTGGCGACGGGGATGCTCAAACTTGGTTCTTGGAGTGCATTCACTAGAAGCTCTTTCTGGCCTTCTGCTTCGTTGCATTCACATCTTACACTTCTACTCCATCCTATTCCATCGATCGATTTGTCTCCACTCTCCGAAATCGCGCGCTTTAACCCGATTCTCTCATTGCGTCGCCTGGTACGTAGCCGGCCAAACGCCGTCTTCTTTCCATGCCTCGCCTGGCTCTGCCTCCTGGTCCTTCGATGGTCCATAACGTGTAGTTTTTGTACGTTTGTTTCTCTTCAGAAACCGAATCTTCATGCGTGAAACTTTGTGTGCTATTTCCAGTGATCACAACTGACATATTCATGTTAGGGAAGAGTGCAAGAATTTTTAACGCGCAGATTTCCGTTTAAGGATTAGCGGCGGTTTGTCTTGTTCCTTTTGCATTTTCAAGGCAATCGGCGCTCTCATTATCGACCGCTGCTAGCCCACCAACTTGATCTAGGGTTTTGCTCTGAGCGAATGCAGAAGGTTGATCAACGCGTAATACTGGATAAAATAGTCCCAGATCTGGGAGTGTAGGAGGAGAGAAGGGGTGAGAGCATTATTTTTTCGATGACAAAGTTGAAGTCATTAAAGTTGTGGTCTAATGTCTCACAATGTTTGAAGATGCATGCGGTTTTCTACGACAATGGGCTAAATCTAGTCTACGGTTCATTTCATAGGGAATTTTTTTGCTAGTGATACATTTTTGAAAGGTGGCTATAGTGAGTTAAAGGATGGTGCATCGTATAACTTAAAAAGCTGCGTATTATGATCTGTAACAATACATTATTAAACAACTAATATTGCCTGTGAGTGCTCGGAACTTGCGATTTGGCGTGTATCGAAAATGATCGGGTGAGTTAGGAAATGCAATTAGAGCAGTCTTGGCGGGACCAGTCCTGGACGGAAACTCTGAAAGAACTATGAGAAATTGAAGTTTCAACGAACAAAATTTTTTCCATACAACTCATGTTCGAATTTAATAATAATGTAATTCAATGTAATAATATTCATTAATTAGTATCTTGAATTTAACTTATTTTTTCATTGTTCTTTTCAACGTGGGTTTAAAATTTTTTCGAATAACATGTACTAGGCACTCGGGTATTCAACGCAAAAAGACAGCCAAGAGCTTTGAAGTCGTTCCAAAAAGAAAAGAATCCGAGGAGATTTGCTCGTAGATTAACGGCAAAGAAGGCAATGAGTGTTGATGTATGACTATATTTAGAAAAAACCCGGTTGACAGTGGGCGCAGTGGCCTTTTCAGGCACAAATGATATTAACAACTGAGCAAAACGACGAACGTATGACGTAAATACGACTCCGCCCTCGATTGCTTACCTTTGCATCTCCTAAGCTGGGCACTTTTTAGAACCACGAATTCGACTAACCAACACCAAAGAAAATCCGTATGATATATTGTAAGTATATGAAATGTGAGGGCGGATGTGGGTGTAAAGGAATGGCATTTACCCAAGCAAGAGCAGTCCGGGTTCAATCTGGGGCCTGCAGTCGCCAGCTGGCCAACCAGGGAGATAAAAAACACTGACTTGTACATCGGCTGGCCCCCGCAAGTCATTGTATAGGCCACATCGCATTCAAATGCCACTACGAATGTACAAATGGAAGTAGAATGCGTGCCGCATCCCAAAAGGGATTGATCAACGGCAAATGCTTTATCCTTTATCCTTTTATTATAATGAAATGTAACAATAGATATTTTCAAAGTCATTAATAGTTTGAGAAGTAGCGACAGAGCGGCATCAAGGCAGTATAGTGATGGCAAACAAAGACGGAAACACATAGAACAGTGTGCAAGAATACGGAAACCGCGAGTGTTCTTGTTACCTATTCGATTTTTTTTTCAGTTCCTATTCGCTTGCAGCGTGATTTTCCTATACCGTTGTTTTCAATTCTACGCTATTACAAAACACCTCAATGAAAAAAAAACTTCCTCAATGGTGACGTCGTCTTTTTATCCCAAAACATTGAGTTGCACCGAAAATGCGTTCCGGCACGATAATTCCAGAAGTGCTACCGAAGATTTAAATGTAAAAAATGTAAAGCCGTAATATGTGACATCATTTAAAAGCTCGTGGACTACGAAAGTTTCTTTCAAATCGGATATTGGGAGGCCATCCAATGTTGTCACCACAGCCGATCAAGGGTTTTGGCCTGCTTTGGCGACAATCGAAACGACCAAATCTGTGAGTTGGAGTAAGAATATCGGTGTTAATCATGAAAATCTGAGAACAGCTTTACCCAACCACTCAAGACACTTTTCAACACGGTGGCGACAACGCGCATTTTGGCTTTTTTACCCGCGTGGGACCAGCGCGATTCTGGAGCCACAGCCGCTCCACCACTAAGTCAGTTTTGAGCGAGTAACATGAATGATACTATGTGAGACGTGAGATAGTTAATAGAAACTTATAAATTTGGAGAAGTAGAAGCTTTCAGGGGGTAGAACAGGAATATTCGATCGCAGTATTCTTGTAACAACTATTAAAATCGAAGTTCATTCAGCAGCAGCACAGTACGGACGTCAAAAGTAACGTTGCCTTGACCATTCCACCAAAACATACATCTTACCATGTATTAGGCCATGTATTTACCTCTACTACTCTTATTAAATGTTATAGAAACTAATAGAAAACGAAAAAAAATGAATTAAAAGCTTCAGTTGGTAGAGAAAAGTTTTGCTTAAAGAAGAGAATATTCGACGGATACGCTTTTAGCCATGTCGAAGTTTAATTGGATTCTTAAAGTAATTGCGTAGCAGGACAAGTATGTCCCAGCATGGCCTTCAGGGCAGTTAACAAATTTGTGATCATTGCCTTCCGTATGAGCCAGAATTATTGGTTCAGTGTGATTCGGACAGCTATCATCAAGTTTGAAAAATTCTTCAAAAATTCCGTACTTTTCGCCCATCTTGTGTAGTACATGATCCGAATAAAGACTCAGGCTTTTTTGCAAACTTTTAAAATTATGGGGAAAAAGGGTCACTAAACTCTATAAGATAAAAAACACGGCAATAATTTGAGGTGCGAACAAGATGCAAGCAATAGACAATTAAGATAACAAAAGATTCTAGTGTTTGATGGAAATGTATCGCGGAAAGACTTAATATCGCTCTGATATGATCAAGACACCATGGTGAGGTATCAACAAAGATCAAACTCGGCTCAACATGAAACAGTCCCTTCATGTTCAACAATACTGGCAAATATTCAACGATTAGCCAAAATCTAAAACTGAAACAGTGTGACTTGCTTTTAGAGTACTGTCACCCGCATTGTTCCCCCATCATAAAAATTGATAAATACTGTTACCCTTGCCGTACAGCTTAACAGTACACTTCACTAACCTTTGCCCATGGATGAGCTTTGATTTGCGGAAACTTTGAACTCCTTGTAATTGGGGTTCATGCTTTGAATTTGCTTCCTTTGTTGGCGTACCGAGTACCTGAACAGCATCATAAAATTCACTGTCGAGGTGAACAACAATGCTCAGTTAAGCACAAAGTGAGTTAGTTCTTACCTTTATAATTTACAAGTTGATCAACACCTGAGTCACCAGGGAAGATCGGTTGACCTAGCAGGAGTTCAGCCATCACTGTGCCTGCTGACCAGACATCGATCGAATTTGTGTAGTTGGTAGGCACAATATAGTTCCGGAGCCAACGATAATACCGAGAGCAGATATAGTGGGACACATTGCTCCCCCGGAAAATGATTAGTGTAGCAGAAGTACATCAAGTGACTTATAATGACAGAAACTATACGTGGATAAATAAAAAGGGGAAGATAGAATTTGCTGCCAGAAAGAAGTTTTTAATCATGGACACGTCGGGCCAATTCCGTCGAATTTTCTTCAACCGTTCTCTTGTGAGCTATTAAAAAATGGTTTGAATTTATGTCAAGACTGCACTACACTGATGTCTCATTATAAGATGAGAAGAAAAACACAAAACTACTCAATGCCCAAATTCGAAGTAGAACACAGAACCCACCAGACAGAGAGAGAACTCTAAACAAATGACACCTTTCCAGAATTTGTTAAAGGATTTTCACATGAATTCAAAAAGTATAAGACGTGATAGCTTAGAGATCGGAGAACGTATTCCATAGAAAGGAAAAAAAAACAAAGCCGATAACTAGCGAAACTCTGTCTCTCCCGAATTCTATTTCACAGCGTCAGCTACACTCAACATGTCATGTGTCCATAACCTTCCGAGTCTCAGATGTTCAAAATATCAGTGAAGAGTTTTTTTCCACTTAGAATTCTGCTATTTTATAAACCACTCCTATTTTCGTTCTTTTACGCACTTCTTGTACCGCTTCAAATTCTTCACTTCTCTGCATCTATTGTGCCCATACCTACCGGCACTTCTGCAATATATTTCACACAAAAGGGTCGACCATGAACTAAAAGGTCTGCTTCCTGCTGAAAGTCCGCTCAAGGTCACGCAAAAAAGAAACACACAGTATATATGGTACATACAGAATACACATCGTGTATAGAGCAAATAACTGGGAGCTTTTTACAGTACTCAATCGATGTCAGGAAAATTAGAGAAGACTGAAAGACATGGAAAGGAAGCCATTATTTTATATATGAAAATATAACTGACAAACCTTGACTAGGTACTTCGCTGAGCCGAAATCACACAACTTTAGGATTCCCGATTCAGGATCAATGAGTAGATTCTGTGGCTTAATATCGCGATGACAAATTCCGATTCCGTGAATGTAGGCTAGAGCACGAAATAGCTGAAATCGACAATGTTTGGCTGCGAAGTTATCTTTGTTGTATCTTAACACGTTGACAATATCGCGTGTTTTGGCATTTTTGGCCACGTGGGACAGGAACGAATTTCCTGGCGCATACAGTTCATCTCAAATCCGTGGATTTTGAGTGATAGCTACGCAAATCATGAATGGCACGAAATTTCAGCATTACTGAATGCGTAGAAGTTACTCGGGTTTATGCGGTGGAACGATCAAGAATTGTAATGGCTTTGAGAAAGCAAATTTAACTCTTTTTCTAATGGACGTCAAAAGTATTAGGTTGTCGGAAAAGTCTTGCGCATTTGGCAACTTTTTTCAAAATTGTTTTTCTTCTTTAGTGCAGCCAACAATTGTTGAATACATACACCACCATAATCGTCGAAACATTGCTCTTCAGCAGGCAACTTCAGGTTGCCGGCCTTTCAGAAATCCGAGTCTTTGGGGCGAAAAGCTTAAAGGTTGACTCCGAGTAGGTCCGGATCATCGGACTGCCCCTATTTCAGTACCTTCGACGGCAACAGAGGCGTATGGTAGCCTGTCTCTACCAGGTTTGCTGAACACACTAAGTGGGTCAGATCATTCCATAACGAGCTTGGAGACCTTTCCTGAACCTTCTTCGTAATTCGTGGGCGAGCGTTGCCGACATAAAGTAAAGTTTCTCAGATTTTCCGGGCACCATGCCGGGAAACCAATCCACTTGCCAACATTATTGTTCACCAATAGCAGTGGACTTCGTTGGCAGCAGCTCTCCGTGAGCGAAACATTTGCAGCCTCATGAGCTTTCAAAGTTGCCTCCCAGGTTACTGTTCTCGAATCGGCGTTGCAATCCTTTGTTCTACGCATCCGAGCCAGTCGTGCTTTCGCGTGCGGTTTATCTGAGGATCCCACTTCTTGACACCACCAACAAAGTTGGCGGATCAAGCGATAGACGGGCGGCAAATCAAAATGTCCTTGCAAAATTTATGGTCTTAATAGCCTGTGGTCAGTCAGATCACAAAATATCCTTTCGCCATAATTTCACTTCTTTTAGAGGCGATATTGAGGAACGGCCATTGTGTCTGGTAGCACTGAAAAAGCTCCGCCAAGTTACCGTGCATTGCACCACTCTCTCCAATCGAATTCAGAATACACTCGTCAATGAGGGATGGCAGGCCGACCAGATTTGTGGTTTTTTCTCAAGTATCTGGAACTCGGCAACCAAATAATTGGCATGTTGTGAAAGATAGTCTGGAGGTCCATCACAACACGTAGCCTCCTACTGCTTCGCTTCAATCGACGCATTTTGTGGGCTTATAAAGGCAGGAGCAGTCGAACATACCTTCAGTGAAAGGACGATTTTTAAGCTTCAAACGCTGCGAAATGCTACGACAGAAATGCTGTGGAGAGAGCATTAACCACCGCTCACATGCGTTTAACAGTGAATGTTTCAAAACGATCCCAAAAGATTTTGCAAGATGAACAAGAAAATGCGCAAGGACTTTTCCCAACCTAATATTTTTGACGGATTGTGCCAAAAACACCTGTAAAGCTATCAATTATGTATGTACTAATTTTACTACTTTTTTATGTAAGAGACCATGACAATAAGATCAAAATTAGGAATGAACCAACTGCCAATTTCATAACGCTCAAAAAAACCTCTGCTAAACTGAGACAAGGTTGACCATAAGGTGAACCGAGTCGTTTAGTTGTATTATGTTGTGTTCCATAGAGCGCATGCATAGTCGATCGTAACGATCGTAAAGATCGCATAAACCGTGCTCGCATAGGGGAGGCGACGCGGTAACGAAATGCAAACCTAGACATCACGGGAATGCGCGTCACGGCATTTCAAAAGTCGATTGCAGTGGAGCTGCATATCGATCGTGCGACACATGCGATCGTAGCAATCGTAAATGCCGCACTATCGATCGCGCGACAC